CCCCAAAACCCCAAAACCCCAAAACCCCATGAGACTAATATTTTGAGGTAATAGAAAAATAACAATTTAATTAACTATTTTTAGTGAAGTGTATATTTTCAAATATTTTTCATGCTATTTGGATTATCAATCTTTATATATTCTGAGTATCCTCTAGGCGCCTCAACAGCAATATTCGAATCAATAGAATCAATTTCTGTAACAGATTGTCTCTCTTGTAAGTACTGCAATAATTTTGTCATTGGCTACTTGTTGAATGCATATCTCGTTGATCCAATAAATATCAGCTTCTTCTTTGGTCGAGATAATACGTGATTAAGCTTTTTGAAATCCCTAACTAAAGGCTTTTCATCTTATTAGTATCTTACCAGAGATACTATGGCTATATCACATTCAAATCCTGTAGGTTTATCTAAACTCTAAACCTGTATTTTCTTATCTTCGCCAGCAAAGTTCTTTATGAGTACTTACTACTCATTATTTAGAGTATAAACGCAAATCTATTGTTTATCATCCTCGAGATTATTCAGTAAGTATTCACACACTTACTTCACCACGAGAGACTCGAAGTAGTTCTTGTTTCGCATTTTAAGCAGCTACTCTTATTCTATGTTATCCAATAGTTTGTCTGTTGATATTAACAGAATAGACTTATCTCTAATGAAAGTTGTTAATTATTGCTGATCGGATTTCAATTCTTCTTAATTTGCATTCTTGAACTTAAGTTGGGAAGACATGATCTCTGGTTTATTGCAAGTAATTATATCTTTGTATACTAAGATATTGTTTAAGTCTTGGATTTCCTTATTCATTCGATATTAGAACTTTAGAGTTGATAAAGACTTCGGTTATGCTCCTGCTAATCTTTCAAATAAACTAACCCCTAGCCCTTTGCGTTTGCCCATAAAGCTTTTTACTGGTGGACTAGATTATTAATAATCTCCGAACATCACAAATTTTTCAGTCATTAGAATAGGACCAAGAGCCAATGGCTCTGAAATTTGTGAGGCCTCATCCATTATGCAGTAATCAAACTTACTGCATAATATGAGAGGGTTGTTCATTTAAAGGCAAGTCATAGCAAATACAAAATTTTCATTCATACATTTCTATATTTATTACATGCTATCAAACATATTGGGACAAATGACTTTGTCCCTCACCCTTTCATCAACTGATGAAGAATTGTTAGCAATTCTTACAAATTTATCAAAACCATTTTATCTAAGCTATATTAAGACATTATCAATTTGCTAATTGCTAAAATTAACAAGAAGTACCTTCTTGTTTCTTTTAGCTAAAATCTTAATCAGCACCATCAGGGTAAGAGATTTACCAGATCCTGGAACCCCGTAAATCAAATGATAGTTTTAACATAAAATAGACTTAAGTACCGCTAATTTCTATTCTAGTTATAAATTAGCTAGTTCATTCCTATACTCCTAAGATAGCTTTACAATCATTTCCTGAGTGGCAGGCAGCTAAGGTTCAAGTTTAATTATAGCTCGCATTAGATGATCAAATTAGTTCTCAGTGCAGAGTGCTAGTACATTGCTTCTCATTATTTAGTAACTAAATGACGAGAAGGGCTCAGTTTCTATGGTCCATTTCAAATCAGTATAAGGATCTCTATCTCCTAATGCCTATTTTGTTATATTGTTTGACATTAGGTGCGAGAACTCAATAGTGTAAATTTCAAGCTGGTAGAAATACTTATCGATATCTTGCATCTTGGTTTCTAAATCTGCAGTTTAATCATATTCATTATCATCATCACTACCCTCTTCTAAATCATTAAGGCATTATTCATCAATTTTATGGACGTTCTAATCACCAAGAGATTGCCCTTCTTGCTTAACTTCTAGCTTCTAATTTTTCGCAGTGGCTATAATATTTAAGGTATTTCTGTTTTCTTTGTCCTCTTTCTTTCTCTATTCCCTATCCTTGGGGATAAAGTCGATATCTCTAGCAACAACCAGACCTTTTCCAAATGTGATACTATTTACAGTACTCAAGTTTACATAGCTTTGCTCACTAATACTCTTGTAACTCTTGTCCTTTTAATTTAGAACTTTTTCTAGTATTACAAGAGTACCTCCTCTTTGGTTCGGCTTTGCCTATCTCATTGTAAGATTTGTGATCTTTTGGAACTGTTATCCAGAACCTTAAGAATTTCTATCATTCTCAGCATTTTATTCATACTGAATGCTTCTAATAAATTTGTTAAAATATTCCTTCACATCACTGCTCAGAGTCTTCTCAAACTCAATGAAGGTGGGAAATTCCCCTTAGGGTGCCTTTCGGGGCACTTTTTACTCTATACTGAGAGCAGTCAATGAACAGACCTTTCTAGCGAAGCAATTCTTGCATTCTGAAGTTTTAGTTATCATTGGTGGAAATTTCATTATCTCTTCTGACTCTAATTTTTAAAGCATTGCTTATTCATCTTCATTGTAGTCATCCTTGTCTAAAAGGGACTTAGGTATTTTAGGGTTGACATTATTTCGTTTCTACCACTTCGCAAGTTCATTTCTACCAATGATTATTGAATCAAGCTCGCTTTTCTATTATTTCAAGTATATAAATCCATCCCTGACGTTTTCATCCATAATGTACAGAAGTATATTATCTGGGTTTGAATTTTTGAATCTTTCAGAAATCAGCAAAGAGTAAAGGATTACTTGTCCTCTATAACTATATAGTTTATTCTTACCAGTTTTTATCTCAAGTGCTGTAGATTTTCTGTTGCCTTAAGCATCTTGTATTACAATAGTTGAGTCTATGTTTCCTTTAATTCCATAAGTGCCTGTGTTGAATTCCTATTCTGCTGCAATAAACCTGCAGTATTTTATGCCGTATTGATTTTTATCGGTCTAAAGCATCATACTGAGCCATTTGGTGATATTAATAACACCCCTCTATACATCTTTTTAAACTTCTTCTTCTGTCTTCTTTAAGAAATACATATAGACAAGTTATTCCTTGATACACTCTTTTGCTATCTTAGCCAATGTTTCCTATCTAAAATCCATAGTCTGTAGAATTGATTAGAAAACTCCATGAATTGTGTTTCCAAGAACGAGAGCATAGTTAATATCTGTGTTCAAACCCTTGAACTAATAAGAAAGTATGGCATTTCTAGAGCAAGGGAATGCCTTGACAATTGATGTACAAGGTATCATAATGTAAGGCTCAACAATAATCATTGAAGCTTTATGAGGTCCTTAGTCCATTTCATTATCATCTATAGTTAAGCTGTATTTATTTTCTGGACAGAAATTTCCGATCACTCTTATCAAATCGCCTTTTTCTGCCCAGAGCTGCTGACTCCATCTTCCAAGTACATTAAGTCTGAATGAAATTGGACATTCAACAAAGCCATCAAGTATTGGTTACCCATAGTAATCCATTGGTGGTGCTAAATTCAAAACTAGCTAGGTATTGAACTTGGAAGACTAAGTTAATTATTCAACGTAAAAGGCACAATTATGGAAATTTTGAGTCTCGACTCTGCTTTGTTCATCGTCTTGGACGTCCTCTTCTTCAATGATAATATCCGGAAACCATTCCTCACATTTCTACTATACTGACTTGTCTCCCATTTTCTGCTCTTCAACTTGATCTTATTTCTGCTTCAAATTTGGAGTGGAATCAAAGAAGTTCTTAGGTATGTCACTGATTCTAAGGCTTGTGGACTCTAACTAATCATGCTGGCTGTCAGTAAGATCAATAATATCTAATTTATCGTAACTTAAACTATTACTGCTAAAACTTTGAGACACTTTTCTTACTCCCTTAATGATTTCTCCAGTATTTGATTTCAGTCTTTTTACCTGTTAAGCTGAATATCCTACCTGCTCTTTTTGAATATAATCAATGGGGAATTTGCGCTTTTTGTTACTGTGTTAATTTGGCTCCATTATATTTTAAAAAAAATTATTATTCAAATAAATTCAGTTTGATAATTTGATCTTTATTTTAATAAATTTGTATATAAATATTAAATTCCTAGAACCCCTTGATTTAGTGCAAGAAGTTAAACTCATCACTTCCAGGGGTTTTGGGGTTTTGGGGTTTTGGGG